GCACGGGTGGGGTTGTCGCCGGCTGTGTAGACGGAGTGTTGTTTGAGGGGTGTGGTTAGGGTGGTGGTTGTGCCGGTTGGGGAGGTGGGCCATGGGGGTGGGGTGCGGAGGCAGCAGGGGGGGATTCGTGGGGTGGTTGTTGTGGACATTTTGGGTTTGTCGAGAGCATAAGAGCCTGGAGCCCTGAGGGGAGGTGTACTGTACGAAAAGGTGTTCAGGGGTCGGGTGGTGAGGGGCTCTATATATGCTATGCGTACCCTAGGCTAGCAGCTAAGGGATCATCATCCCTGTAACTACCACAAGGCTGGAGCCAACGACGTAACAACAGCAGCAACAATAGTGACGCTATGATTATGATTAGCAAGCAATGCTATCTAGCCATCCCAGCCCGCCTTGGTGGCATTCAGTAATCCCCCGTTGACGGCTCGGCGCCTGGCCATGAGCCGCGCCAGCACGCCTACGTAACCCGCGAACGCCATACAACACTGATATCAAAAGATCGCTAATGCAGCACATGCTCGAATCCAAACGCTGGGATGACAACTTTTCCGCCCGCGGCTTTATCGCCGCCCGTCCGTCGGAGTTTGGTGCCAGATCGTGTCCCCGCTCAGGGCAGAGTAGCTCAACGCCGCGTAGCTGCGCCACGTCGGTGGCGCGGACGATGCATGTGCCTCATGGACTGCTGCGTCCGCGCCTGCGCGGTGTTCCACGTCAGACAGCTCGTCCTCGCTGCCTCCGGTGATCGGGACCGGAGCCGAGGATACGCTCTGCTGAGACTCAACGTCGCGAGAGTGCTGACCTTCGCCCACTGTCTGCTCCGCAGCGGGATCGCGCATATCACCGGCCTTGCTTTGCGCCATCGACCGAACGACGTCTCCCTTGCAAATCGGACACGTCCGTCGGCGTGTAGTCAACCAAGGAGTGCTGTACAGTGTTAGAAGTGGCAGGATATAGATCAACTGGCATACTTACATGCACTCGGCGTGGAACTCATGCCCACAAGGCAGGCTCATCACCCGGCTTTCTCCATCGACGTACTCTTCCAGGCAGACAACACATTCGACCTGTCGTCCCGTGTACTTACGTCGCCAGAGAGTGGATCCGGATTTCTCCTTCTTGGAAGACGAAATTTTGGGTGCACCCTTGGTGTCTGAGCGACTTCCAGACCCCAGCAGGGGGGATGTAGGCGAGACCGGGCCAGGGCTGACGGACCGCGGTGAGCTAGAGGCAGAAGATGAGGTGGTAATTGTGTGATACGTTCGCACGGGAAGGCGGTCCACCAGAGATTTCGGGGCGCGCCATCTTCGTCGACGAATGCGGGACCGGAGCAACAGCAGAATATACACGACGCTCAGTGTAAGCAGCGGACTGATAACAAGGACGAGGAGGGTATCGAAGAATGGACTGGTAGACATGCTCGTCGGCGTTAAAGTGACCCACAAGCCCTCGTGATCGGCTGTCGTCGCGCCTGATTGACTGATTGAGGAAGGCTTGCGGGACTTCTCTTCGGCAGCAAGTGTGTCCTTGACGCTCGCATCCCGGCTTACGTCGGGCTCATGTCTACTTGACCAGAGCTTGGAAAGCCAACTGCTTCCAGACGAAGATGCGTCATCATCGCCGCTGCTATGATGCGAGCTTTGGGACTGCGAGCCGCTTGAGCTCCCTTTGTGTGAGACAGTAGACTTGTCGACGGTATAGTACTCGCCACTGCCCGGGGTAATGCTGCCGCCTTTCAAAGCAGCAGCGGTGGCTTTGTCACTGCTTTGAATATTGCTCCCATCTACACCCGCGATCCCAGTGGGTGTCGGAATAACACTGCCCTTCGGTGCGACTAGGTCTGGATCTCGCCAGTCCTGGACTCCGATCACAAACCCATCTGCATCCGAGCCGCTCGATAGTGATCCATGCTTCTTGCGGTTGATGGTGGCTGCGTCTGCTTTCGTTGGGTAGCGGCTAACATCTGCCTGATGCTGGGGTGGTGCATGGTCATCCCAAGGATCTAGCATGATCCAGTTAATGTTTCCACTGTTCGGCGGGCGACGGCTATCTTCAGGTGAGAACCACGGTCGTCTTCCACTACTACCAAGGCCCAGTAGGGATAGCAAGGCATGAAAAAGACCGCCTTTCGGACTAGCGGGAACCAGACTATTGTCGGCCATCGCGTGCTTAGTGGGCGTACTTGAGGCAGCCACTACTGTGGTTGTCGCTGTGTGAAGAGGTTGCTTCCCAGAAGTGCGATGACCCGACTGGCCAGTTTGAGTAGCCGGAGCGTCATCCGCCTCCGTACCTTCGACCATCTGAGGCGGAACCAACGACGACAGCAGATGGGCGGTAGTGTGGGAGGTGAACAGCGCAGGGATTGTCACGTTAGATGTATCGCCGCGTGCATACATAGTCACAAGGCTTCCACCCCGAGTGTCGTCACCCACAATCAGAGCAATGCCTCCTCGTCGTTGCACCCATTTGACTTTCTCAAGGAAGCCACAGCCACCTCGACTCAACAGAACCACCTTGCCGTCAATCTCCGCACTTTCCTGCAGAGATTGAATATCGGCGTGAGTTGTGGGTAGGCTCAGAGAGTGATCCCCGGGTTTCTCCATAGCAGTTGCATCTGTTCCTGCAGACTCCGGAAGGGGGTGGTGCAGATGATCATCGGTTCCGTCATCCGTCGTAAGGCCGGTCTTTGCTCTTTCCTTTGGAAGACGAGAGGATTCGGCATCTGAGTGGGCATCCGCCTGCTTTTTCGTGCCCTCGCTCGTGGTTCCGGTTCGTGGTTTACCCGCAATTCTGTCGGCCGTCCCTGGCTTGTGAGGGTCGCCTTCGCCCCATCCCGGAATATCTGAACAGCCCAGTTCCCCCTCCGCCCCCGCCGTCGTGCGTTCTCCAAATCCGCTTCCAATCCAGAGTTGACCGCTCAGCCCCTTGTCTGGGAGCAATGGGCCAAACGCTGCAGGTCTGGCCAGGAAGAAGGTCGAGTTGTCATCGGTCAAACTGATGATTGCGGAGGGCGGAAAGAGCGAGGATGGAAGGTTAAAGGAGAAAAGGGCATGGAGACCTGTCGCTTGACCAGCAAGCGAGCTCGGCGTAGAGACGCGGGAGGAAGTGGTGAGTGCCGAGAAGAAAGTGAGTAAGATCGGGAAGAAGAGCAAGCAAAACACAATCATGATCAAGCGTGGTGGTCGCATGGTGACGCAATGCTCCTAGTCACCAAGCGATACAATAAATACAATGACCGTCTTGGATATGGTGTGGTTGGTAGCTGACAGGGGTGAAATGAATGACCTTCCACGGTCAACGTTTCGGTATCCAGGCAGCGTGATAATAACTTCGGGGAAGAGTTGTGATTATCGAGGTGGTACTAATTAATGGTGGCACCCTGCGGTTGCTGGCAGAGAGTGGATCTTATGACCAGTCAGACGGTCGCTGCAGGCCGACAGCAACCCGCACTCATCGAAAACGAAGAGGCGGAAAACTGGTAGACGATGAACAAAGGAAATCAGACAGATCGCATGAAAAGAAGGTCGAACCTCCTCGAAAGTGCGACGAAAAACGAGGAGAGGAGGGGGGAAATCGGAGGAGGGAGGAGGGAGGGGGGGAGAGGGGAGAGGGGAGAGAGAGGGCGAGAGGAGGGAGGGAGGGCGGAAAGGAAGGATGTCAACACGCGCGCGCCAATTTGATCGTCCAGAAGAACTATGAGGAATTGAGTGGTCGCAAACACGATGCAGAGTAATATACAGAGTAGAAGGACTATGGGTAATTTGGTATATCAGAGAAAGAAAAGAGAAGTAAGGATGGAGGAAGGAATGAATGAATGAATGACTGGCCTCTTTTTTTCCTGCGTTTACGGAGTACTCTTGCTGAGACACGCAAGCACAGCCTCAGCCCCCAGTCACGGGGCTGTGGCTGCCTGAGGCTAAGGTGGACACTGGACGTGGACGGGGGTTGTCATCCTGCGAACTCAGGCCAAGTCAGGCAACCAAGGTTCCAAGGTCCACATTGTCCTATCCATCAATGAATGCGATTATCATCTCCTCACCTCCGATTCAGCATGCTACGTGACCAAGAACCAGAACACACTCTCTCATATGTATGAGTGAGTATACGTATTACTTTCACTCAGCATACAGTCCACTCATTCTCTAACCACCCTTCTCACGATAAACATACTGTGTAGATGGACTCCTCGTTTCCACCCCCCACCCGCCGATCATCCACCATCTCCACTCACTCTTTAGTCGGAGGGTCCACCTTTCGAGTCGCAAACATTGATGATCTCAAACTCCTTAGCATTCCAATTCCTCGACAACCACGAGTACAAATCAATAATCAAGCAATCGGCATTCTTCCGTCTTGCAACCGTTCTGTCTCATTTGCGAGTTCTTGGGATTTCTTTTCCCCCAAAGTCGTTCCAATGAGATTCAACTTATCTTGCAGATCACTGTTCACCCCCTTCCCTTCCCCTCGACCGGCTCAGCAACCCTAGCGCAAATAGCGCAAATGATTTGAGAGACAAGGTATCTGGATAGTGAGAGCAACTGGGGTTCAGTTCATTCAACTTTGGCTCTTCCGATGCAGCATACCGTCTCCGACCGACGGGCAGTATTTTTAATAAACTTCTCGTGCCATCATCGAAGTGGGACCGCTTGGGTGTTCCCATGGCGGGGGCGGGACTGTGGCTGGTAACTACCCGTTGATGAGAACACGGTCTGGAATTGCCGGGGTTTGCCAGATGACGTGAACGACATTCACATTCCTGACCTCTTTCTCGATTCTCGTCAACCATAATTGGTATCCGCACGTCATATCAGTCGGACAGGCGTGCTGTTGTTGGCTCAACCATGTACCAAACTAACATTAAGGTTTGCTGTCTTTGAGAAGCTGTTCTGGAGCTGCTCGTAAACCGAACCGGCGTTTGAGCTAGGAATCTCTATTTAGACTACATACAGCCCCAAACACGACGTTTCCACCTAATTACTACAACTTCGATCAACCCGGTGGTTCTCTTGCATACTTGACATTGAATATTGATAATACTCCACAAGTCCGTCATGTCCAAGCTCATGCACAAGGTTAAAGACGCCTTCACCGGCCATCATGGTCATAAATCAAGTATAAGCATATTCCCCATGCTAGGCTTCCCCACGTTGAGCCTCCAATCCGATTGACTTGGAATCAGACACCGGCAATTCTGAAACCGTCCCCGAAGCCGAAAACGCCAGCTCTGGGCCCTACAGCCAATCTGACACTGGACACCATGCCCCTCAACCCGGCGACAGCGGTGCAAAATCTAGTGCTGACCCCTACACCTCTGGAGCGTATGACTCCGGGGAGAACACGGCTGCTTATGAAGCACGCACTAGCGGCTATGACTCAAAGCCTTCGGGTGGCCACGAATTCCAATCTAGCTACGGTCAGGAAGCTGAGAATCGCAATCCTGCTCAGGATGAGTATGGTTCAGGCATGACTGGCCTCGGTCCTGACTCTGGCTCCAGGCAGATGGAGCCTAGAAATACTAGCGGTGTGCAGCATGTCAGCCCGGGTGGCTATAATCGTGGCTCCGATCAAGTTGAGGCTTCAGATATCGCAGGACCATACTCGTCCGGTACGGAAGGCCGTATTCAACAAGGATTCGGCGGCGGAGGTGCAGAAGGAAGCAGCAGCTATAATACTCATGGGACTGGTGAGCTGAGCGCTGGTGCTAATGACTACAGCTCCGGAGGTAAGCTCGACTCAGGCCGAGTGGGTGCTAATATGATGGGATCCAATATGATGGCGTCGGACAACCTACGCACCGCTGGCGGGGCACAACGTAATTACCGGTAGGAACGTGATCATCATGAATGTACTTGAATAACCGTCAATATTTTCTTGCGGTCAGATTCTTCTTGTGATGTACCAACTGCACACTGGAATCGTCAGCCTCTGGTGGAATCGTGCTATTGCTTTCTTATGTCTCAGTATTGAGTATATGCTTCTAGTCTAATAACTATTGATTGTTTTCCGATGGTCCTGGAATGGAGAGTTCTTTCTTTGTATTCCTCGAACGCGACGACTAACCTCCCTGGTGTTGGACAGCGATTTCCTCGTTTTTCGTTTGCTTTAACAGCTGGCACGTTGCGCAGGAAGGCACAACTGAGACATGGTCTCTCTTCACCGTCTATCCCATTGTGGCCATCAGTGAACAATTCACCTAGAAACCACATTCACCCCATAACAACAGAGGGTCCAGCAGCAGATTGTTTGCCATGTCGCTTGTGTTCAAGCCCAAAAAACAACGGCGCAGTAGGTGTTTCCCCCTTATGTTCTCTCTCGCGCCAGCCTTAAACTAAGAGAAAGAAGAAGAAGATGATGAAGAGAGCGTCTTGCTAGAAAGACACAAAAACCTGAAGGCAGGCAGCTGACTGGCTCATCAGGACAGCGAGGTCGTAGAGGCAAAGGCTCGGTGACGATCAACAATTTACCCCCCGGAAGAGCTCCTGTAGGATTGCACCATCTTCACTCTCCCGACAAGCGTACTCAGACCACCGAGTGGCTCAATAACGTATCACCCATCGCGGTACAGTTACCACTCCAGTCTCTATTTCCAGCGTGCTTCACATTTTACGCACTGTCATTAACCTAGGCCTCTCCACTCCCTAGTCTTTACAGTCACTCACGCCAATCCGTCTTCCTCACCTACCCACAACTCCTGCTTCTCGCCAAAGAGCTCATTCGCTTTCATTGCCACTGCCACCGTCTTCTGGAACGATATTAGAACAGTCCCCTGTCATACTTCGGGGGTCCCCAGCGCGTGTTCTTGCAGCTTCAACCCCGAAGCAGTGTTCTATTTCGTTAGACTTGTCCAAAGACGCTCCATCGATATTAAGTACTACTCATCAAGCAGCAAGCTATCAGTCTTCCCCCACTATGGCGTCACGGAAGTTTCCTTACCGTCAACAAGTCTTTGCTGCTTGTAGTCAGCCAGATCTCGGACAGACTGACGACCATGAGCTCCATAATTTGGATGACCTTGCCTCCTCTCAGCCTATTCCTCTACTTGAGTTATGCCTGAAGCAAAGCTCAAGAAACAAAGGTGCACGGGCCCAGAAGCAATATATGCTGGAGAGTGCGGCTGGTGTTAGTACCAGGGCAGCAAGCAGCGGCGATGAAGATCTCGCTTCTTCGCGCTTTTCCACCTTGCGTGGATCCATCAACAATGCCTTTGAGATTTACGAAGATCGGTCAAGTACCGAGGCTATCGAAGCTCGAGAATATGGCGACATGTCGTGTGATCCAGTTCTCGATGCAGAGGAAACCGCATCACTACTGCATGCAATAGACTCGCCGAGGTCCCCGTCACGCCCATCGTCTAGACGCCATGCTAATATTACTGGTCTTGATGATAGCTCTCAGAAGCCCTCTACGCCTACGCGTGTTAAGAGGTATAACTACAGCGAATCATATCTCGGCTCTATTCATGAAGGAGGAGACACCGAAATCCGACCCAGTGCCAGTACCCAGTACAACCCTTCGGCGCGTTATTCTCGAGTTTACCAGTCCAGTGACAGCGATATTGATTCCTTCAATGATCAAATAACACCTACACGCCTGAAAAGACACGTTCTCAGCGAGGCGAAATCTGACCAAGGCTGGTACGGAGCTGGCAATGGGCCTATCCTGCAAAATCCTCTGAACTACCTGAAAAGCTCCAGCTATTCTCACTCGGGCTCACACCCCCAATCCCGCAGCTGCATTTCGGAGAGCCCATTCCAGCGACGCGGCGATAATGCTAGTGGTGATCGGGCAGTCTGGCCAGTGGACTTGTCCAGCCAGAGATCCTCTTGCGAGGGACCCAAGACAGGATCTTTTAGTCACGATTCTGCGTCTGAGGAATCATGTCCCCCTTCGTCATCTTTGCATCTGTACGGCGCAAATTTTGATCAGACGTATAATCGTTCCCCCTATGAATCATTACGAATCCAACAGGAGCGTTTCAAGCGCGCCGAGTCTCGCAGAATCTCGTCGGGCTTGCAGTTTCCGATGTCTGGATCTCAGCAAGGATATAACTCAGATTACACATCTAAGGGGAACACTCTGGCTTCAGGATTCTCGAGCGGTGCCCCTGCCGCACGGCCTGGAACACTTCAGTGTCCGGAATCCAGTAAATCTTCGTATCGTGCTTCCAGTCAACGCCAGGAGACAGACGCGCAGAAGAATATCCCTTCAAGCAATGGTAGTAGTAGCTTGTCCGCTGAGGAGAAACGACGGATCTTCAAAGAAGAAGTCAACGCCCTGCTTAAAAGTACTGCCGAGGGGCCCAGAAACACCAGGACACAAGGTACCGCAGAAGAGGCCACAGTAGTTTCTCATAAAGTCAAGGCACCTAGCACTGACGAGTCTCGAGCAAGTGCCTTTGCAAGTGCTGTTGCGCCAACCCACTCGGAAGCTTCGGTGAACACTGGAAAGCAGAAACTACAACCAGAGGAGGCTGCGACGACCACTTGGCATCTTCTTGAGAGGGCCACTCTAGACCTTGATAAAGGAGCAACGGCTAACAACTGGCCTCCAATGCCTCGATACATGCCTCAAAATATCTATCAAGCAAGGCGTTTTGGGGCATGGGGCAACTCGCCCAATACGAGTTCCTTTTCTGCGGACGTCCAGCAGTCTTCGGGGCCGGTGTCTTCATCTAAAGCACGAGATGTCATCGATAGAGCTACCACACTGGATCTCAGGGCACAGGCTTCAGCTTATATTAAGAGCCAGATCTTTCCATCCGGGTGTGGCACACAAAGCAGCATCAAGCACGCACTCGGGCACGTTCCAGGTTCATCCGTGAAAAGCGAGAGCAAGCCTCTGAAGCCTCCGCCTGGGCTGTCCAAACCTGCAAGTCAGTTGACAAAACGGCCTGCCTGGTACGTGGACAGCCTGATTCAGAACCAGGCCAGGCTGGATGAGTCCAACGCCTGGTTTCGGCGGGATAGTCGCGGGGAAGAAACCATTCGCGCCCAGGTGGCCTTGTTCGCTCAGGACCATAGTGAGCAACTCAAGAAACGAGGGTATTCGACAGAAGACTGCAAGTCTGCGAGGGAAATGAGTGAACTTATGGGCAATGCGCTTGTTAACTTGACCTCGTATGTCCTGGGAGACCGAGAGCAGCAGATCGGCAATTTTGCAGACTTTACGCCAGCACCATCCGACTGCTCCTCGCCAAGTTCTGATAAGCATCGAACTTTTTTCGAACTAGATTGGTGTACCAACGGCGGGGCATCTCTTGGTCGAGAGTCTTTGCCATCTGCCAATTTCGGCCACTTCGCTCGACGCAGAACTTCTTCAGCGACCAATCCTTATACTGTCCTTGAGGAAGACTCTGACATTGACTCTATGGGCGGTGCGTGGTGAAATGGGATGGAGACTCGTAGTCATAGGTGGCTCTGTCAAAACTAGCACCAGCTTCTCCCCGCCCAATGAGGAGGCCGCTTATAGAATGTCTTTCCATCTGAACTTACCACAGCATGCTCACATCTTGCAAGCAAAAGGAGTTTGTAGCTCAATGGCTTATGGAGGATTTCTCATCAGGAACTGGTTGTCTACATGGTATTCCCGGTGGATTCGCTGTTACATAAATAACATAAAATTCCATGCTTGTCGCAGGTAACCGCAGAAACTCTACGATATCCATACACACACCCTGCCGAGTAAACTTGTTTTCACTTTCTATCCTCTGCTTTACCAATTTCTAACAGGATACAGCCTTGTAGACTGTACGTGCAAGAAACAAGCATCCCCGCCACTACCTGAATCTCTCAGTGTGAGCTCTGCAGCGAGAACAAAACTCCCACCCCGAGTTCGAGCTTCCAGCATTCACCATGTAGTTCCTACAACTACAACTCCGGTAGCGCCAGGGAGAAAGATTTCGAGTCGAAACGCTGATACCGATGCCGATGCCGATGCCGTACATCCGCCATCCAGTCTCATTTCGACTAGCTAGCTAGGTAGATAGGTAGGTAGCTACCCGGGGTACTTGGGTAATGGTGATCGATTATCTACTATTTCCATCCCATATGACTGACTGGCTGACTGACGTTCCACACAAAAGAAATGAATACGACCTGAAAGAAAAAGGCAATAGAAAAAGTGGGCAGCTAAGCGTGGGGAGCAACCGTACATGCATGCATAAGGAGAACGAAAAACCCCGAAGTGTGTGTGTGTGTGTGTGTGTGTGTGTGTGTGTGAAGAACAAGAGAGAAGGTAAATTGTGAAATAGCCACAGCGCCGGGTTGCTAATGTTATTAGAAAGAATTGCTGTTGCTTGCGAGTGGTTCTACGCCGGGGAGAATTGGAGGACGAATGGTGAGAGGGTGCGGGGGAGGGATATTAAAGGGTTAGGCGGTTGTAACCTTGAAGGTTTGTGAGAAGGTAGAGGGTGGTTGGTAGCGATGGCAGGGGAGAGCGGGGGAAGTATTACTGGAAGGAAAAGACGTGGTAGGATGGAACGGAAATAGATTCTGGAAACTGGGGAATATCGATGAGACCTTGGCGCCGGTGGTGTGTCTGTAGGAGGGTTGCGCTAATAGAGGACAGTCGGTTTGGAGGTAGCGAGGTAATGTTTCGTTCACGGTGCGTGTAGTTTAGGTGTGTGGGATGTGTGGTCTCCTGTAGCACCACGATGCTGAAGAGGAGCAACTGGATACTCTGTGGGCTTCTAACATGTCACCAAGTTTATATGGTGGTCGTTCAGTGCAGCACAGGCCAGGACGGTCCGATGTGGGTGGAACGCGGTGCTGGCGATTGGGGAGGAGCGGTTGTGATGGAGGAAGCTCGAGTAGGGCTCGAAGGTGGAGAGATAGGTTCCATCGACGTTGAAGGTTTTCACTTCGTGACGGTTTGTACCACTGTGTTTGATTAGAGACGTGAGCGAGTTTTCTTTCGGCCAAAAGACACCAAGGAGGTTATCA